TCAGAACCGGTGCCATCATGGCACTGGACACCGGTACCCATCCCTAGTTACGCTAGTCAAAGTAGGTTAAGAAAGATTTTGTTCCTTCCAACTGAATTGATTAGCTCCTTTGTTTTCTGGGAAACAAATCAACAGACCACAGGAAGCTGTTTATCTAGGCTCCCGTTGAAACGAACAGCTACTACAAGCTGCTGGTCTTGATTGGGGCCAAGGGGAGGAGGGCGGAAATGAGAAACGTAACTGAAGAGTGTAGAAATCAGCAGAGAGCAGATCAGTCTACATCTGGCTCATTCATTCAACAGAACAGAGCTTTAAAACACACTCCATTCAAACTTAGTCAAAGCTAACACCTGTTAACTAACAGCTTACCTTTGTCTCATCAAACCTTTCCTGGTGCATTATGAGGAGCTGAATGAGATCAGCCTAGTGTTAATGTCCAGCACAGAAGCAATACGAGCGGAAATTAAGCAAAGAGTCTCATTTCATGACACGTCTTCAAACACAGCTCCTCTTTTCACTGTGGAGCATCTCTGCACTCAACTCTTTATCTCTGGTAACCATTCTTGAATGAAGCCACAAAGCCGCTCCCAGCTGTTAAGAGAATATTACACTAGCTAGCATCACCCAATATGCCCTTTGGCATTAAATTTTGTATCTGAGTAGTTACTAGTATAACAACAATATTTCACAAATCATATAAAATTGTGTGTTACAATGTTTGCCCTGTTAAATTTGGCTGTGCATCATTTAACATGATCTTATATTAATGTACATTGGTCATTTGATTCATTGTGAGTGGAAAATGTGTACAGTTGGTACAGTCCCCCTCTCAATACACTATATATTTTACATTTAAGCCCACCAATTGGCAATAGAGGACAGTCTGTTTTTGAAAAATTCATATCATACGTGATACTATGATGAGTATTCCACCCATCATCTTTCATTCAGTGATTATTTAGTCACACTATTAAAGCCATCAGAGGATACGTGAGACACAGTGTCGGGCCATAGGCAGGCAGGGATTGGTACATCGGGTTCCCTCCATGAAGGAGATGCATTTTTCACTCACTGTTCTTGTGTGTGGCTACAACCAAAATAACAAACAAACATTAGATAATGAAGTGAAACGTAATCATAAACAGTTGACGTTTTTTAAATTATCCCTCTATGACACGACTGCCAGAGAATATACCGTATTTTCACGACCATAAGGCGCACTTAAAAGTCTTAGATTTTCTTCAAAAAGT